AGATACATAGAATAAAATGGTTACATAATACATTCTAGAACTAAAAAGACTTTTGGTAATATTTTACATTTTAAGAAAGTAAAGAGTTAGTAATGAAGGGCTTATATTACATTAACATTTTGTATGTTAAATGTTTTCTAAAATGAAGATAGTTCTAAATGCTATCTGCCTGGGCCTGGCCTTTGAATTTACAGCTTTTGAGATTTTTCCTGAGCAGGAATAGAAATACTGTGAGGCTAACAGAGAGGAGGTTTGGTAATATTTTACATTTTAAGAAAGTAAAGAGTTAGTAATGAAGGGCTTATATTACATTAACATTTTGTATGTTAAATGTTTTCTAAAATGAAGATAGTTCTAAATGCTATCTGCCTGGGCCTGGCCTTTGAATTTACAGCTTTTGAGATTTTTCCTGAGCAGGAATAGAAATACTGTGAGGCTAACAGAGAGGAGGAACTTCAGCTGAACCATGTTGAGAAGAGAGACATGCTCCACTCTGACTTACAGGGTCCCACTTTTCTCATGAGGGACATGAAACTACTGGAAATACAGTACCCTGTACTACTGGACTATATTTTTTTCTAAACCACATACCTCTGATGAAGTTTAATTGATGTTAGGCTCAATAAGAGACTAGCAATAACTACTAATAAAATAGAACCATCAAAACAATGAATGTAATAAAAGTCATATGAATGTGGCCTCTCAAAATATCTTCCTGTACTGGGCTTACCTTCCTTCCTGCTTGTTGTGATGAACAGGTATGACGGGGGCCTACTGCATAGATGAGCTGAGCTGAAGTGAATCAAGTAAACATTATGGCATAGCATAAGCTATCCTTGACTTTCTTACTTAAACACAAACATCATAGCATTGTGAGAGGAATATTGAGTGCCTGACAGACAGGTAGTGAAAACATCATGGAAAACATTGTGGATATGCTGAATATAAGGATGATTATTTGTGCTCCTGGAAGGACTGATTTCATTACACTACTCAGAATCCTGCATAATTAAATTTTATAAATGGGTTATTTCTGAAATGTTCCATCGAATACTTCCAACGGTAGTTGATGAGAGTAACTGAAACAACAGAAACTTGCACATAGGGTGGATTGGATAACACAGGCATGGCTTACACCTGTGTGCTATTCACTGGAATGATGGTCGTTAACCTCATAGACTTTTTAAATTAAAATTAAATGAAATTTAAAAAGCAGGTCCTCAGCCATATCAGCCCTCTTTCAACTATTACTGGTCACAGGAGGTTACTGACTGTTGTACTGTGAGGTACAGATGCAGAGCATGTCCATCTTCCTAGAGTGGCCTTTAGAGAGTGTTGGTCCATTCAGTTCCCCCAGTCTTCTACTGCGGGCAGATCCTGCTGGTTTTCTATTTTCACCTGTACTCCTCATATCAAGCATTTCCTTCTAGCATCCCTAAAAGATTTCACGTTTATGCTTCTGAACAAAGATGTACGGCGTATCCAATTGGCTATTTCTTGAATTATTTAGCAAAAGTGTTTATTTTTAGGATGTCTTCATAGACTTTCAAAGGACATTATAGAGGCAAAAAGAGCAGCATGCCAGGGTATATGAAAAATAAATCTATCATCCTAAACAGTGCCACAATTAACTAAGGGATTCCAGTTGTAAAGTACAAGAGCTCTTAGGTTCCCATTGTCTTTTTAAAAAAATTATTTATTTTGTGTGCGTGGGGGGGGCGCATGGTGGAGGCAGAGGAAAGCTTGCAAGAGTCAGTTCTTTCCTTCCATCATGTGAGTCCCAGGGATTGAACTCAGGTCATCAAATTTGGTGGTAAGCACCTTTACCCACTGAGCCATCTTGCCAGTCCTGAATTTCCTTTTAATAGGAAGATGTCTGCCCTCTCATTCATTCTAGAAATATTTACTGAGAACTTTATTGCTGGGCCTTTTAGGCACTGCAGTTTCTAAAAGGAACAGAAGTATACTTGTTAAATCATAAATCAAATGAATAAATAATATGCAATGTTAGAAGACATGTTATTTGGAAAAATAAAACAGGGCAAGGAAGATGTATGCAGGAGGAGTTGGGAGTGAGAGTTGGTTTTTAAGGTGGCCAGGGATACATGCACAAAAACCAAAGACAGAGTGATCCTGAGCCAAGAGGACCTCTAGCTGCAAGATGACCCCCATTTAGTCCTGGCCAAGCAACCCATGGTAATTCTTCTGGCACATTCTAAGAAAATCAAATAAGTTGGTGAGACTTCAGTAGAAAGATAGGTCATTAAAAGCATCTGGATCAGGGCTGGAGAGATAGCACAATGGTTTAAGAGCACTGGCTGCTCTTGCAGATGACCCAGGTTCAGTTTCCAGCACCTGCCTGGTGGCTAACTTCAACATCCTCTTCTGGCCTCTGGGGGCATTGTACTACATGGTTTCACTTACATACGTACAGCAAAACACTCATGCACATAAAATAAAATAAAAATAAAAATAAACAAAAAAAGAAACATTTTTTTTTTTTTTTTTTTTTATAAAAGAAACTGAACCAAAGAGCCTCCTCCTCTCCCCTCTGGTCCTCGGGCTTTAAGCAAATGTAGATGTTCTAAGGTAAGCAATTGACATGTTCAGCAGATGTCAGCCCTCTGGGAACTGAGAAAAGAAGACAGAAAAAGTTATGTTTTGGATGGGAGAGGAGCTCACGAGGCCCAACCCCTTACTAAGGCGCTTTTGACAGTTGATGGCCGCTGAAGGAGATTCACTCTTCTTTGGGGGTGTGGCCACTGGTAGGTTGCCCAGCCTCCAGTGGATGTCCCCATACCCAGGCACGTATGGGCAGCACTAAAAAGAGAAGACATGAAACTGGGAGGAGATATGTTGGGTGATCCAGGAGGAGTTGGTGGGAGCATTAGGTGGTAGATTTGAACATATTTCATTGTACTCATGTATGAAAAATTTAAAGAATACATTTTTAAAAATAATTTTAAGACAAAAAAATCGCTTAAATATCATAATGCAAGACAAGAGAAACCCCCCTTTAAGGTGATTGATCAGGGTGGTCCAAGAGACTCCAAAATAACAAAGGCTATTGTCACAAACCTTGATTGCCTCCCTGAACTTGGAGGTAAGACCCTATTGCTGAAGACATTACAGACTTCGGACACAGGACTTGGAGCAATCAAGATGGATCTGACTTAGAAACCTTCTTCCTGAAGACCAGCTCTCATAATATACAAAAATACTATGTTAGCTTCCAAGGGAGATAACCCATCAATAAATAGTCTTATCCAGCTGTAAGGCCTATGAACCATAGCAATGACCAGTCCAGCAAACTATCTCTATTGGTGCAGTAGTGGCATTTTTATCTTGGGGATAATCAACAACTGTCTAATTGAACTTAAGGTCCACTCAACAGGATGGAATTCATTTGTGTACTGTAAACAGCCAAGGACACATAGCTGGAGAGGTCATAGACCCTAGAAAAGAACCTACTTATGTCACTTTCCTAGGCCAAAATGATTTCTTTTTATATTCTAAATACATATCCTTGTATTTACAGACAAATATACTTCTCACTATTAACCAAAGAAGCTTCTTTTTGCAACAGAAGGAGAGTATTACAAAATTCCACAACTGGTCAAATGCAGAGAATAAGTGACTGTGAGATTCCCCACCCCAAGTGATACATCTGCAATGCAATCTCTACACCTAAGGCTTGGGGAACATTACAGAAGAGGTAGTGGAAATCATGTAAAAGTCAGAGGGACATGACACCTGCTGGTCTTTAATGCATTCTAGATATGATAGGGAAGCTACACCAATGAAGTATCCATAATTTGGCATTCTAAGAAGATCTGCATAGTGACAAAACCAGTTGACATGCCAAGGTGGATGGGGGAATTTCACCGAATTTCACCTCAAGATGAAGAGCTAAGGCAATCAATGGATGCCAAGGGAGAGAGAACCAGTTTTCTCCAGGGATTAGCTCCCTGAGAGATTATCTAATCACAAATGGACAACCCTAAACACAGGTACATACTAACACCAATAAATGGATTCAGTGCATTACATATATATGTATATGTATGTATATTTATAATTGTATACATGTATATGCAACAATAATAAAGAAGAAGACATTGAAAAAGAGTGGGGAGCATGGGAGAAGTTGGAGGGGCCTGGAAGGTATGGATATGATGCAATATAATATTAACGTATAAAATTCTCAAAAATGCAATTTAAAAAATCATTTAAATGCAGAATTAATTAGAAATTATCTATTTTTACATAATTATAAAGACACTACATAAAATCATTAGTCATTATCATTCAAACAAATATTAACAATTGAACAAATCATACATACACTTAATCATTCATTATTATACATCAAATGTATGCACCAGTATAACTATGCTGTCTTGATTTCTTTTAATAAAATCTGGAAGTGGCATAATTTTTTTTAAAAGAAAAAAAAATGCTTGCTTTTCTTTCATAGTATCATGGTATTTTTATGGAATGTTCAAGATTTTATGCCTTTTTGATGGTGTTTTCAAGTGCATCCACCAGGATTGAAAGCTTTTTGATTAAGAAAAATGCATCATTCTTATTCATTCTTCCTGGTTGTAAGCAGCTGAGTTGCTGGCTGCACCCCCCTCTTCTTTCACCTTTGTCATATAAGAAAGACATGTGAAAATTGATGAGACTATGGAGTTCCCTGGCACTTAAACACCTGTAAGAAATGGTGCCTAATTTTAACAAAAGTTGAAATAAATGAGAATATGCCTTGTATTTCAGCACATGATTTTGTTCATATTTCTCATAGGATATTTCAGAAATAACCTAGCAAATTTTTACTGATAAAAGTTTTAGGGGTAGTTTTGAAAATGTGTACTAAAAATGAAAGGTATATGTAAAGGAGTGAGTTTCATGCTTGGGATAAATTATTAAAGTAAGAAGTATTAAGTTTATTCAAGAATTATTTCTTCCATTGGAAAGTAATGGAGCCACTGTGGCAGGCAGCTCACTTGGGGCCTGAGTGGTCTTGCCTGTTCTTGCTCAACAAGTCAGATTGCCAGATAGCTGTCTCCTGATTCTGACAGGTCAAATGACCGTCATGTGTCTTAAGTATAACTGTTCTTAGGCAGAGGTGGAAAGGGTGGGGCTCCTTGGCTGTTGGCTACAATGCTTGCCATTTGCTCCAAAATTCTAGGTTCTGAGTCTCTCGGCTGTGACAGAAATCCACCATCTGCAATATTCACTTGTGGCCTAGGCCAGTTGCGGCTGCCCCTCCACTCTTCCGGTGCTGGGTGTTGTCTCCCGCGTCGCTCCTCCACTTGCACAGGCACCACCTGCTATCGCCCAGGCGCTGCCTGCGAGTGGAAGGTCACTGCCTCCTGGGCGCCACCCCTGATGGCAGGGGAGCTGCCCTTCGCTCCTTGCTGTGGCCCCAAGCTGTGGTCACTCTTCCGCTCTTTGTGGCTCTGAGGCAGCTCTTCTGTTCCCACGGTGCTGGGGCCACTCTAACTTCTGCCCGACCCAGACCCCAGGACTGGTGAGGTGACTGTGTCAGCCGTTGTATTCAGACACAGGAGATCAGGTTCGGTGACACAGATCCAGTTTATTGCAGAAGGGCACAAGCTTATATAGGGGTAGGGGTCCAATCAAGAAGTTACAACTCAGATCTTTGGCAGGGCTGTGTCTTATCATGACATCCTGAGTCAGACACCTTATTAGCATGATAGGTTTCAGGTTATTTAGGTTCTGGTTTCCTTATGGGGCCTGGTTTCCTGAGAACCATGTGATCCAGGCTGCCTAAGTGTTCCAATTTGGGATCTCAAGGGTGGTGATTAGGGGGTGGTGAGCTCTAGGTGTCAGTCTCATGATCTGCCAATGGGAGCAAATGTCACAAGGCGCTCCTTGTGGCTCCAGCTGTATGGCTGTCAATAAGACTTTCACCCTAGGCTCAAGCCTGTCTCCCACATCCACTTAAGCCCATTGTGGTATCCTTGTTAGTCTTGGTGAACAAACCAAAGTAACACCAGTATAC